TACAACTGAGATATGGGCTACTAAAGCTGCCAACGCATTGTGGGATCAGGTAGATCACACAGAACCGGTTAAGAGAGGGTGTTTTCGTGTTTTTTAATCGAAAGGTTGTTTCTACACGGCAAGAACATTATATTGTGATATCATATCTACTCAAATATGACATTAAACTTTGTTTAACTGAGTACTTAACAATTTAAAAGCATATAAATCCCTAAGAAACCTAAAACCCCTGAGAAACCTAAACAACCCGAAACCCAAAGAATATCCTTTAATGATAATATTTTCTTACTGTGTACAAAAAGAATAAAGAAAAGGAGTACTCACCGGTCTTAAGACGATCGTTAATTAGATCCTCGATGAGCTGCGGACACTCGCACTCGATGGCGTAGCAGAACTGCTTGAACTTCTCGAATCCGTTCTTGGCGATGATTTCGATGAGATTTGAGCACTGGAGTCGAAGGATTTCGGCATCGTTTAAACCAGAACATAATCCTCCCCCAGAGGGAGTTAGTGAGCGGCTGTCACAGTTTGCGTCTCCATTTACACTAGCACATCGCGAGGATCCACTGCCTCCGCTGCCGGCACTTCCACCACTAGCCGTACTACCACTGCTTGCAACGGCACTTAGTTTCCTTTTGGTTAACGATGGAGCACTGCCAGGGGGTTCCACTGTGGCAGAGGCGGCCGTCGAAGGAGTGGGCGTAACTGCATTATAAGGCTTTAATAGAAGATCCTCTTCCGATTGACTGAGCACTGAGTTTTTGACAAGAACCGCTAGAAGATCAGTGCTTCCGAGATCCAGCATGATGCGCTCCTGGTGACGGGAGAGCAGCGAGCGCACCTCTTCCTCTTCTTCGCGCGTCATCTTGGCTTCTTCCGTTAACTGTTATTTGTTTACTGTTACTTATTGCACTCGCCAGCTACAAAATGAAATCACATTGCCAATTTTCTGGCATTTTCCTATTTCGTAATTGTTTCACTTATTTTCGATTTGTTTTCAAGATTTTTCTTAGCTTTGTTATTCAGTTGTTAACTTTACTTGATTATTATTGGTATTCAAACACTAAATTGTCGCTTACATGCGAATTGGTTATTGGTTAAATATTAACTGTTGTTTCTTTTCTCGTTTGTTTTGTTTTCTAATTAGTACCACTATAATTTGTTTTCGTATATTACTTTAAATTGTTGATTATTAAATATATTTAGCTTTGTTTAATATTGTGAATACATTTATTGAATGCCTGCTTTTTTAATGCCTGGTTTTTTGCTTCACTTTATGTTATAGAAATTGTATTTCTTTGCTTTTATTCACCAAAAACTAAAAATGCGCGCCATTTTTTTCGTTTGTTTGTTTTTGTATACTCCGCTTAGCCGTTCGCAGAATATTCGTAAATTCGAGTGTTGGTTACAAATAATATATATTTCCGAGATCAAATATTTATATTTTACCGGCACTTTATCTCTTTTCGTATTTGTTGATATCTTAAAAACACATCAGCAACTCGGCTTTCGATGACGCGCACTCGGCGATTGAAAAATAACTACGGAGCGTATGGAGCGGCAGTTCCTTATATAGCCTCCAAGTCCACGCTCAGAAATCTCTTACTCAATCGCTCGCTCTCCCTCTCTTTTAGTACCCTACACTCGCAAGGTATGCTGGGTCATATCAAGAGAGCCCAGAGATACGTTGCTTATACCTTACACGGTATGCAACTATTGAGAGAGAAACTGAGCGCCGCAGCATGAGAGAGGGAAATAATGAAACCGGTTTACGCTGTGAGAGTAACTGAGAGAAAAGGGCGAGAGATGTGTAATTGCTTTTGTTTGTAAATGCGTTTGCACTGCAGTCTGCAGCTGCAATGAGCGGAGGTGTGTTTGTGTGTTTGTGTGTATGTGCTATTGAGGCGGCGAGCGTAAAACAAAGTCAAACAAAAAGTAATTGTGTTTACATTGCACTCTCTCAGTTTCTGACTTTGCCATAACAATTGGTTTTGTTTCTGGCTTTGCTAAAATATCACGTAAGTAAACGTAAAGAGTTAAATACATTTAATTTAGAATTTTAATGTTACATTTTGGTCTATTTATTAAAATAAAGATTATATTTTTTAACATTTTTAGTTTTAATTTTCAAAATAAATTCTCTAATTATAAAAATGCGAAAAAAAAATCACAAGAAAATGTATACAAAATATTATTAAATGAAACTTTGATAAACAAAGTATATTTTGCAGACATTTATTACTCCTAAAAACAAACAGCAGGAGGCTTCAGTCAAGACAGCTTCGAATTACCATATTGTGTGGGCATTAATGAGGACTCTCTGAGGGGTTCAAAAACCGGAATCGGAAGCAGTCTTACGGTCTGCGACACCTAGCCTTGATTAATTGCCAACCGGCCACACACTCAGCCACATGCTTAGCCGTTTATCTCGAGTGCTTTTGCCAGTTTACAATCTGTTGGCCAACTTGTAACCGGTCATCATAAAGGAGTCTGTCAGACACTGATCGAAAAATCGTTATAGAACGAAACATATGGAAAGATATATAACTAAAAGTAAAATCATCTTCGCTTTAAGTTACACTTTTTCCGTTTAGTTTAGTAATGACTTAAGAGAAGATCTTAAAATTTAGTTTCCTTTTTGATTTTTCTTTAACAGTTTTTCCCCTCTGTACTACCACATCCACACCATTACAGAAAGGGCTCTAATTACGTACGTGTGTTTGAATTGCGGCGCCCTGATTAAGGCCCTTTTGCTGGCCAATCGATGATTGCATCGGGCTAATAATAACAGATGTTAAGCCAGACCCTGGAAACGGATAAGGATAATTAACGGAAATCAGTAAAGGAGCTATGATCAGAGGTGGTTTAACTACTGTTGTTTTCTGTCTCTCTCTTGAAATCTTTGAATTCCAGTTCAACATTCCAGATATTTTCCGCCTGTCAGCGGATTAACAGGTGTCTCCGCCCCCAAAAAGTGAGGCAATAGCTAAATTGTTCGCATAAATTGATTACAATCATTTGCCTATCCCCCGAACTTTAAGCCGCCCTCTGCTGCTCCTAAATATATTCTAAACTATTAGAAATAATAACAACAAGTTGCTTAGTTGGTTGCCATAATTTATGCAGCAATGCAGTCGAACCCAATGAAAAGTGTCGCTCACAAATCTAGGCGGTAAATTGCTTTTTGCGTTTTTCCAATGCACTCCCACTGCCTCAGGCATTGCCACTGCCACTGCCCCTGCCACTGCCTTAATGTAAAAGTTGTCAATCAAAAAGGTCGTCAATCATGAGGAAAATGCTGGAAAATAGAAGGGATTGCAGAAGAGGAGGATATCGTAGTTTTAAACTGAAATAAATTTAAAGAAAATTGAAATCCAAATTCATATTCTTACAAACTTTATAAAACTTAACATAAAAAATGAATTTAAATATTTTATAAGCATTCTTTTCAACCTTAAACAAGGGGTTCTAAATATACCATAGTTTGAAGTGTTATAAGCTATCTACCCATCGAATGACCACTGTACTTCTTAGGTGGGTACAGAGAAGAAAAGGCTTGATTTGTCCGAATGTTTTTTTGTGGAGGGCCTGGAATGCAAATTACTATTATTACCGGACAATTGCCTTGTGCTGCGAGTGCATTCGAAATATTTGAAAACACCACCCGAAAGGGAAAATTGAATGGCACAAAAATCTGGCTGATGATTCACCCCATACTCTAACTTATTGGGATTACAAATTCAGTAAAAGAAAAATGTGGAAAGGGAGGAGCAGGAGGATGAGAAGGAGGCTTTATCAATTGGACCACATGTTCTTGCCCAGTTTTTGCTATTTTGTATTGCTCGTCACGTCTCTGCAGCTTCCTCTGCAATTAAGGAAGAGAAGGGGGAAATCAACTACAGTGCATCATCTACTAGTATTACAAAGTACTTGTACAAATTATAGTCCTGATGCAGAGGAACTTGTTATGGGATATTAAACTCTATTTTTACATAAAAGAAACCATCAACACATATTTAAGATATATGACTTTCGTGAGTTGACTTTTAAGATTTAATTATGAAACTGCTCACTCGTTGTTCTTTTTACCGAGTCTTAACTGTCCAAAGCTACTAACATTAAGAGCCGATAATCCTCTTTCCGATTGTCTGACGTTCTTCCGGGGTGCAAAAATCAGTAAGAAAGCCCCTGAGTCATCCATCAATGGCTGGACTTACCCTCAGATAAAGTTCTCCATTACTCCAAACCCTAAGTTACAGGTGCACTTGGTAAGATAATCATCTTGGGGAATTGCTGAGAAGACCAGCTCCATTTGCCGATTAGCAGACCTGCCGACGACCCACCGCACGTGGTAACCATTTCGTCGGCAGCATTTGAGTTATTGTGGAATTTTTATTATTATTTTTCCGTAATTACTTATCACAAAGCACGGCTGACTGGCGTGCTGTTTTCTAATCTGGACCAAGAGAAAGGCCATAAAACTGAATGTCCAGCTGGAACGCAGTGCAAACTGCTTTCAGGTAATGCCAGTCAAATGGTTCTCCAGCTGGTAATTCAATTTAATTGTCTTTAGTGGCTTCCTAACCTGCTTCGAATGGTGGTTCTAATGGCCGCATATCATTTACATCGATTGATGTCTGATTGAGAAAACAGAAGATGTTAATGGTGTTAATGGTTACTAAGATGTCTAAATCAAATTTATTAGCTTTTAATTTGAATTCATTAAGGAGAACTTTAAAACGAAATATAACGTGTTAGTATTACAGATCCTAATAAGATCTTAATAATAAAGTGAGCTACCCTAATGCAAAAGCTTCCTAAACTCTACAGATCTCCAAAAATAATCTCTTCTAACTAAAAACAGTTACTTCATACCTAACTCCCTCTCACTTCTTCCAGTACGAATACCCCCCTAAGTCTCCAAATCGCGATGAATGGAGACGACGAAAGAGATGTCATAGGATAGAAACCAAAAAGAGTGGATGTCGAGCGAGAAGAGGTCTCACTTTCGTCCGAGCGATGGCCACAGTCACAAGTGAATTCCCCAGCAAACCGATAAGTTATACGAATACCAATACCAATACTTCCACAAAAACCTATTGCCTGAGGTCAGTGAAAAGGCGGGTGACCACGTGTTTGCAGCAGTTGCGCGAAAAACTTCCGGCAACCGGATCATTTCGCAAGAGTTCCACCAGCCGTTTTCACAGGTTTTTCATAAAGTCAGATTTTTCCGACTTTAGTGAAAAGCTGCAGAAGATCTTTAAATCGGCGCGAAAATCTGAATCGCCAGAGTTGCGGAGAGTTCCATTGAGCACCCATGACCAGCAGACCAGCGGGCAGAGCAGCCAGCAGTTGCAAATCGTAGCCAGACTTTTCTCATCCACATTGATTTCCACCAAAGAAATCACCTTTAACAACCACACTAAAAATAGCTTTAGCTATAAGTGCAGGAAAAGCGAGGGTTACAGCAGCAATATGACCATCATCGAGGGCAACTATATAGACGTGCGCGAGGAGAATCCCGATATTGATGCCGAAGTGCGCGCCATATTGCTTACCCACGCCCAGAATGGAATCACGATATCGAGCATCAAGAGTGAGTAGCTATTTAATTTTAGGGATTCATTTAGGGATTTATTTTTTGAGAAAATATTTTTTAATTTATCGGGAAAAGAGAGTAATCCCTGGTAATTTTCTTTAATTGGCTTATCAATTTGGTGACTAAAATCACTGAAAACGTGAATAAGAAATGGCCATTTTACCTTAGAATCTTAAACTTATAATTTTAAAAGTATTTTAATAAAGATAAATCTTATTTTCAAGCTTAAAACGTGTTTAGTTTTATGGATAAAATCAAAATCTTGTTAAAAATGACTTCTAAATATTTTTAAAATATCATTGAACTGAAAATCTTAAGTGACTTCATAAAAATAGCTTAAAAACAAGCAGTAAAAAAAGCTTTTCTAGAAAACTTTTGACTAAGTGACATACAAAGAATATTAAGTGTTAATATTCCAATTTATTTAACTTACCTATTCCATATTAAAATATACATTTTTAGTAAAAAACCAAATAACTAATCAAAACCCTCTCAGGTGAATATCGCAAACTGACGGGCAATCCCTTTCCACTGCACGACAACGTGACGGACTTCCTGCTGACCATTCCCAATGTGACCGCCGAGTGCAGCGAGACTGGCAAACGGATCTTCAACTTGAAAGCAAACCTGAAGAACCGACACCTTCTCGACATGGTGCTCAACCAGAAGCAGAAGCCCAGCGACAACAGCAGCGAAGCTCCAACGGTGGAGGATAAATCCCGTGTACCGCCGCGCTACTGGAAGAATCCCTACAAGCGTCGTGCACTTTCCCAGCTAGACAACAACCTAAACACCGTTCACAAGCTAACGGATGACCAGGCCAAGGCAATGTCCATGCATACCAGAGCGGCTCCACTGCAGCAATTGGCCAAGGTGGCAGCGGAGTCGAACTGGTGCTACCAGGACAATTGGAAGCATCTGTGAGTGAAATTTAGAACCAGAATTAAAATCTTTATAGATTTGAATTATTAACAATCATTTTCTGATTAAATTTAATAATCTAATTTACTAATTAACCACATTTTTAAGTTACATTTTCTTATAAAAAATGTTTTACTAATGTAAATATTTTTACCATAATTTGTAGCAACAATTTCTACCAGCAATCCAGCGTAAACGAGCCCCAGAGGCCTGTTCCCATTAACATCTACACCGATGCCTTGGAGGATTTGCCAATTCAGTTGGATAATCCCGAGCATCACCCAAACTGCAAAAACAACAACCAAAATATCAAACAAAACGTTAACCAGCATCTGGGAAATTTTGTTAACCCATTAAACGATGTTAACCCATTTAAAAGACGCCAAGATATAACGCCCACACCAACAATTTTTACCAGTGGAGGTTCTAGCAATAATTCCCTGATGACCATCAATTCGGATTACGATGCCTTTCTACTGGACTTTCCCCTGATGGGCGATGATTTTATGTTATATCTCGCCCGCATGGAGTTGAAATGTAGATTCAAGAGGCACGAACGTGTCCTTCAGTCAGGACTTTGTGCATCTGGACAGACGATAAATGGTGCCCGAAATCGGTTGAGGAAAGTCCAACTTCCCGAGGGCACACAGATTATTGTTAATATAGGATCGGTTGATATAATGAAAGGAAAACCTTTAGTTCAGATAGAACACGATTTCCGATTGCTGATCAAGGAGATGCATAATCAGAGATATATACCGATCCTTACAAATCTAGCACCTTTGGCCAACTATTGCCATGATAAGGTTTTGTGTGATAAGATCACGCGATTTAATAAGTTTATAGCAAGTGAAGGCAGGCACCTGAAGGTCATTAATATACACTCCTGTTTGATCAACGAAAGGGGCATCGTAAGATTTGATTGTTTTCAAAGGTAATTAATTACTTAAAAATCAGTTAAAAATAATATTATAATTAGTAAATCTATTGCAGTTCACCACGTCAAGTAACCGGTTCCCAGGAACCTTATCTATTCTGGAACAAAATCGGGCGGCAACGCGTCCTGCAAGTTATTGAATCGAGTTTGGAGTACTAAGTCGGGTGATTGATCGTGATATATATACATATATATAATGACTGGGCTGGCTCCTGAAGATTTTACGATTTACGCTGATGGCTTGCTGTTTTTACGGAATTCGCTTCATTTTAATATGTTTTATGTTTATATTGTCCAATTGTCTTTGTTAAAATTTATGTTCGTGCACCTGTCTTGTCTTAGTGTAATTGTATTTGTTTAATTGTATAAATGTGAGTGTATTTGTGTTCTTTGTTAGCTTTTTAATTTCTTTATTTTTCACTGCTTGTTAATTATTTTGTATATTTCATTGATTTTCCGCACACTTTTTGCTACTATCCCAAAAGCTGTGCTGAAAAATCAAATACGAAATAATTGCAAGTAGCTGAAAACTTTTCCTCTTAACTTTTCCGCTTTTCCCACAACCATTTTCCCTTGGTATCTGTGTTATAAATCAGATTGCAAGGCAAAATGGAATTTAAATGCAAATCATTGCAAATGTTATAAACTGTTTTTTGTTCTACATTATTTTTTGTGGGCCAAAATGCTTCATGCTCCTGTATCGCAACCTGCCCTCATTCTTTTTTTGGAGGCGTGGTCTAGATACATTTGAGCCATGATGTATTTTAGCTGTAATGAAAATGCTTTTGCTTCTCTTGGAAAATTCGCTTGCACAAAATCAACGCCGCGGCTGATTTATTATTAATGTGCTAAAGCAAATTCAAGTGAAGCATTTGCACGATTTTCGTCTTCCAGTTTCCGTTTAAAAAAAAGTAAGAAAAAAGTTTATAAAAAGCTTACACCCTGCTACAGACACGCCACCGGAAGTGCGCACTAAGCGTTTGCTTGTAGCACAGTGTAGAATTACAGCGTAATTTACTACTCTACTCTAAACTAAACTCTTCTAGATAGCTATCTACTATTTATAAACTTCTCTATTGTCTTGAATGTATGTTAATTGTATGAGTCGATGGTGATCATGTTTTTTTGTCTGATAACAAGCTGCAATGTAAAATCCAAAAAAAAATTGAAAAAATTAAAAAGGGAAACTAAAAATGATAGTTTTTTATTTCAAATTACTTTTTAACCACATTTCCTTAATTTTGGGATGTTGGTCGTATGATCAATAAATGTAAAATATATTTTTAGAAAATTAAAATACTTTAAATATAAATAACATATTCATTGAAATTTAAATATTACCGCCAAAATGATTTATATCCGTGCTAACCTCATCCAAGTTTCCAACCAAGATTTGCTTTTCCTGACTAATCGATTATAAAAGCGTAAGAAATCAATGCTATCGATAATAGCATCAGCAGGCGACGGCAAAAAAGTCTTAAAAAGTAAGCAGCTTTCGTCGGTAAAATTCGTTTTCTTACTCATTAGTTGTATTGATTCCAGAATAAAATGGCTTCATTCTTGGCAAGAACGGGCGGTCCCTTAATTGAAACCGTTAGGCCAGCGGCCATGAAAAAGGTAAGTCCACCAATTAAAGGTCATATTTTTGTAAAAAAAAAAATGCAAAAATCACAGACGCTTTACATAATAAGGCGAAAAGAGAGCGGTGCTCTTTCACTCTCTCTTGTGCTCCCCGTCTCTTTCTCTGTGCTACCCACACATGCGAAATGCTTAAGTGATGATCGTTTATCGCTAAAAAGTTCTAATTTAAATTCCCTTTAATTTGTTAAGTAAATAGTTTCACCCAGTGTGAGAGCTTATATTGTAGATTGTATGTTTTGGATCGGAAAGAGAGTCATGATCGTTTAAAGACACCTGACTTTTAAATTTTTGTTGTTGTGTCAGCGTGACGCAACGCAGCGGTTTCTGAGTGCATGTGTGTGTAAGAGGACCTTGAAAAAGCCTTATTTATTCCCCTATTTAATTTTCGCTTTTTATCAATGAGCGGATGACAACTGTTGCTCTATCATTTTTAGTTGGTGCTGCTTTTGTTGTTGTTAGTTTTGTCAGGCCCTCTAATTAAATTCTTAATCTGTGAATTGTTTTTGGTTATCACCGGAGAAACGCTGTTAACCGCTAGACAGCAGACTTGCTCTTAACCCAGATTTCGTCTCTTTGGTGTTTTTTGTTTATGTTTCTCGGATGAATCATTGAACCAGTTTTTTCACACAATTTTGCTTGACAATGACCTCGTGACTGGAATTAAGGTTTCATTTATTAGATAGCATAATCATTTCTGTCTATAATATAATTAGACATTACCTTGATTTGTTTCTTAGAATTCAAATACAATTTTCCTAACTTTAATTGTATACATTTTTGCCTTTCAGATTCTCGGCCTGGCTCCCATTGCCGTTCAGCAGCTGAGGAACCTCAATGTTCAGGAGCACGTTTCATACAGTCTCCTTAACGAGAGCAAAATTCCAACACCTCGGTAAGTAAATCGCAAAAACCAACCGGAATTATCAAAATCGGCGGTGAAATAAAACCAAACCAAACCAAAAAAAACAACAATCCGCCACAAAGTTTGCCGTCCAAAGTTCAACGAAAGTGCCGCGTTGTCGTTGCGTCGACGGTTTTCTTGGTTTATTTTCGTCTCGGACTTTGTCTGAACTTAATAATTTGCATTTATTAGCTGGGGTAAACAAACCATAGAAGCGCAGCCACCGATGATAAGGATGATAACCAGTTCTATACTATACTTTGATCGACATAAAGTGGCAAGGGTCAGTGACGTGGGGTTTGATAAGATGTTAAATTGGAAAGATTGTCGGTGGTGCGAATGTTTGCAAAGCTCTATCAATATTGCAAGTTATTAAAACAGATTTAAAATAATGATTAAAATGATTCTATAGGCAAAATTAAACTATAAAAGTCACTTCCGCCTTTTAAAAATCTCAAATAGTAACACTGTTAAAATAAAATATTTAAACCATTAAACCCAGCGAAATCATGCGATTATGTTTTTCTGATCTTTCGATCGACCTTGGCTCGAAAGCCCAGCCTTCGTTGCTTTGAAATTTGACGCCTACTGATAAGAGAATTTACGTTAAACGTTCTTATCAAAAATTCTAGAGCATCATAAAGAGAATACCCAGAAATATACCATATAAACTCATGACTCATGTCTTTTGCAGTTTTGCTGTTGCCAAGAACGGCAAGGAGGCCAACGACATTGCCACCAAGCTGAAGACGGACAACCTGGTGCTGAAGGCTCAGGTTCTTGCGGGTGGACGTGGCAAGGGAACCTTCAAGAATGGTCTCAAGGGAGGCGTGCGAGTGGTCTACGAGTAAGTTATATAAGATTAAAAATGCTAGTTAAATATTAATAAATATATGATTTTCCAGCCCCCAGACCGCTGAGGAAATTTCCAGCAAAATGATCGATCAACTATTGGTCACTAAGCAAACTGGAGCAGCTGGTCGCATCTGCAAGAAGGTGATGGTAGCCGAAAGGAAGTTCCCCCGCCGTGAGTTCTATTTTGCTGTGATGATGGAGCGTGCTTTTAACGTAGGTTTATAAATTAGTTATTCGTTAATATGAAGTACTAAACATAATCTCTTATCTAGGGTCCCGTCCTGATCGCATCCAAGGAGGGTGGCGTTGACATAGAGGAGGTGGCTGCCAGCAGTCCCGATGCTATTCTATACGAACCTATCGATATTGGCACTGGTTTGACCTGTGAACAGGCCCAAAAGATCGTTAAGAAGGTTGGCCTGGGCGGTGAAGGTGAGGACACACACGTCCAGATGTTGTTGAACCTGTACGATCTGTTTGTCAAGAAGGATGCTCTCCTGGTTGAGATCAACCCCTATGCTGAGGATGCCATGACTGGCTGTAAGTTTGAAGTTTAACCTTGTCTTCAGTGTTTTGTTAAGTCTCTATTTCTAATGTTTCATCTTTCCTAACAACATAACCCATTTGTGAATGTCATTAATCTGGATTTCGTGTTTTCTGTCCAGGCTGTAAGTATGCATTACTAACAAATCATCTCATTTATTTCTTAAAAACCAATGCTTATACTTTCTTTAATAATTTTTATTTAAAATTATTCATAGTCTTCGCATTGGACGCCAAGCTGCGTTTCGATGACAATGCCGAGTTCCGGCAGAAGGAACTTTTCGCTCTGCGTGATTGGACTCAGGAGGATCCTAAGGAAGTCGAGGCTGCCAAATACAATCTGAACTACATTGCCCTGGATGGTACCATTGGCTGCATGGTAAACGGTGCTGGTCTTGCTATGGCCACCATGGACATCATTAAGTTGTATGGCGGCGAACCTGCCAATTTTCTGGATGTTGGTGGTGGTGCCACTGCCGAGGCTGTAAAGGCAGCTTTCAAGATCATCACCTCCGACCCGAAGGTGTTGTGCATTCTGGTCAACATTTTCGGCGGCATTATGCGTTGCGATGTCATTGCTGAGGGTATCATCTCTGCCACAAAAGACCTGAACCTAAACATGCCCGTGGTTGTGCGTCTTCAGGTGGGTTTTATGAGATTACCTTTAGTTGATTTATCTAATAATCTTTTTCTTTGTTTTACAGGGAACTAAGGTCAAGGAAGCCCGCGAACTGATTCGTACATCTGGACTGAAGATTCTGGCCCGCGATGATTTGGATAAGGCTGCCGATTTGGCTGTGCATTTGGCGCAGATCGTCAAACTGGCCCGCGAAATGAAAATGGATGTGAACTTCGAGATTCCCGATGCCCAAAAGTAGATAGCTCCATCAGTTACCGGCTAAGTCAACCCTCATAAGCACACGCAGACACAAACGAAAGTCGACAAACAAAAAAAGTAGAACCAAAACATAACATTACTCTAGCTATACAAAAACTACTCAATGAAACTATGCCATCGGTTCGTAGTTAGAGCATTATGTATTGATAACGATCGGTTGAACAATTGAATGATTAATTTTGCAAAAATGTTAAGTTTAAAGCTGTTGAGAGAGTCCTAAGGATATGTCATAGATATTTCGAATAATCCAGCAAGTTGAGTGTTCACTTTGCACCTAAACAATTTCTATATTGTATCTTAAATAGTCAACATTAATCGCACGTGAATTATAGAACAATGGAACAGAAAATACGTTTAAATTGTGATTTTTGCAAAAAGTTCATTTAATTTTTATTTATTGAATTGCGACACTGCTTCAAAAGCAGTTCCATCTTGTGTATTATGCTATTTAGTTTGCTTTAAATTAAAACACCAAACAATCCAAGCTGAACCTGCTTTTTACGTTATTTAGTTTACAAACAAAGTTTACTTCACAAGTAACATTTTAATTCAGTTTTAAGTACCTTTTCAACTCATTAATTTATACCCCTTAGGGGAAAGGGTGGTGGTCAAAAGTGTGAAAAAAAGGAGGATAAGAAACAAGAGAAGAAAGAGGAAAAGAAATCCGATTGTACAAAGAAAGAGGAAAAGAAAAAGGAAGAAAAAAAAGACATCTGTGCGAAGAAAGGATCACCATCCGATAAGGGTAAAAAATAAAGGATCCACCCAGCATATTTTCGAATCTACAACAGCATTAAGAAGAAGCCATTGTTAAAATTCTAAATCCCCAACATACCACAAAGTTTTCATTAATATTACGATTTTTTGTTTTCATATTTCAGTTTTGTTTATTGTGTGTGTGGTGAGCCTTAGAAACGATCGACTAGAGATAGTATGTGAGTCTGCTCCTGTTCCCGCCAGTCAGTGTCTCCATCGCCCAGGTTGCCAGCGTACTCTGTAATTAGATTTGGGATTTAAACTGGGTCATTGCTTATCATGGTTTCATTATTACCCCTCATGATGCTTCGAATGGTCTTCATGGATGCTCCACGCAAGTTAAGGATCTGTAGAACACGCTGCTTGACAGTATCGCCGGTGGCACTGACCTCCAACAGGATGTAGTCAATGCGCTGCAGCGTGAACAGCCCGCCGGTCAGCCGCTTTATGTAGTTGTTCTCCGCCTCCTCGTCCTCATCGATACTGGGATCCTGTAATTGTCGTATTTAAAAAAATGCCTAATAGCTATTTAGATTATAACTTGCCTTTGTCTGCTGATCAATTTCCTTGTCTATGGCCTCCACCTTGGCCAGATACTTGAGGTGCAGCTCCAACAGTCGATCCACCTTCTCATGATCATTCTCGGTGAACTTGGCCAACATTCGCTGGCGGTGGGTGCCTTTACAGTTTCGCAGCATTGAGGCAATAACGGAGGTCACATGCTCCTCGTGCTCATCAGCGGAGATCAAACGTTGCTTATTGCGCTTAGGGGTTTTCATGAATAGTGGAAAGATGGTGCGTAGACCGAGGATCTCGACGAACTTGTTGCAATTGTCTCTTCCATCCTGGCCGGCCATGGCATGATCCAAAACCTTAAGCGAACCATTTCTGGACATTTTCTTCTCACGCAGCATAAGGTTCATTAGCTGGAGGCCCTCACCACTGAGGAAACGATCGCGATTCTCACGGGCCATTAAAGCGGAACAGAGGCAGTTGAATAGGTTCTGCATGTACTCCTGCTCCTCGTTGCTGGCGGGATCATGACGTTTGTAGACAGCCAGCTGTTGCAGGAGCACATCGACACCATCCAAAGAACCCAGCAGTAATCGGTTATCATTCTCGGTTTGTATGAGGATGGAAAGTATCTCGCTGCAGTACAGCTTGTTTGGATCGAAGGGGGATTTGCCGCGCAGGCGTTTTAGCAGCCAGGCGAGTAATCCCTGTTCAGCAGCTTCCTTGACGAATTCTGAATCGATTTCTGTGAGGTTCTCAACTATTGCCAAAGTATTATGAACGCCATCAGCTTCTTCCTTAACCTGCTCGTTAAGTCGCTCCAGATTTTGAACTAGAAGGGCAAAGATTTGCTCTTTTCTCAGGGCTTCTATCAAGGATTCGGCACCCTCCTGACTCTCGCCTAGGATATCCACATCTGTGACTTCCTGCAGAAGATCTACTACGGCCACAGCAATGTCTGTGTTTTGATGGGCCAGAAGTTCCAGCAAACTGTGCAAGCCATGAAGGTCTACGAGAAGGGGATATAAATCAGGAACTGTGGCCACGCCCTTGAGTTCCTGGATTACTGTGTGCAGTTCCACCTCTGAGTCCATAAACTTTTCAGGACTGTCGGCGAACTTGATTCGCATCTCCTGGTTCTTCAGATTGCGTTTTTCAAACACCAGTATCAGTTTCTTAAGGCTTTGCTCATCCAAAACATCGCCATCGGCCTCTTCGTTTTCTACGTATTTCAAGATGTTAAGGCGCTCTTCCTCCGTAAGCTCTGGATCAAATTCGAATGCGGAGGTGCCGGCGGAACTGGAAGTTCCTCCACTTTGTTTGCCATAGTGTGCTGACTCCTTGGCTTCGGCTATGCGCCGCATGCGTTTGGTTTTCTCATCGCCGCCACCGCCCCGTTTTCCGTGCGAGCTCTCCAAATCGAAGTCCTCGTCCTCGTCCTCGTGCGGACGCTTTGGCGTCTGTTCTGGCTGTATTTTGGGATGATCGAACTTTAGTTATAACTCAGAAATTATTATATACTCACCTTAAACGCCAGCAGCTCGCCGATGTCCATATTTGCGGGCAAATTTATCTGTTTTGCTTCAGGCCTCGGACAAATGGCATCTCTTGATATCGATTAGCGATGTGCCTTGTCTCTGGTAAGTGGCAACTCCTAATATCGATAGGGCGATAGTTATCGATATGCGATGGAACATGAGATTAAGAACTTTGCTAAAATAAACCTAGGCAGATACTGCAACCATTTAACCCTTACTTAACTCATACAGTTTTTGCCTATCATAAAATTTGAATATAATTTTTTTTTATTATTTTACAAAATATTACTGGAAATGTTCTATAACTATATTTTATTTTAAACCATTTTTTTGCTTCTGTTTTATTTTAAGCTTGAAATCTGATAATATTTTTGTTTCTGAACCTTTCAATCGGGATATATGTATATATAAGATTGATGCTAAGTATATTACTCAAAATAACTAATCCTAAAAATATATAAGTCAAATAATTTCAAATAGGTGATGCATTTATATCCATTATCCAGGATTCAAAATTAAAGATAAACTAATTTCTTAAAGAAAAAATATACATTTTAATTTTATGGAAATGTTAAATTTCTTCATATATTACCATATTAACTTAAGCCCATAAACTATTCCTGACGCCCTACACCACACTCACCCAGCCTCCCAATTGCCTTTTGCCTGTTTAAGCCCTGCGCCTGGGCCTGGGACTATGACGGCGGGTTTACATAAATTCCTAAAGGCCAAGCCCCAAAAATAAATTTACAACTGCTTTAAGCTCTGGCAATTCAACAAGTTGTTTCGATCTAAGTGTCTATGTGGTTTTGTATGGGTTGGTGAGTGTGTATGCTGGTGTGTGTGCTTTCTTCGAGCCAGTCTTTCTTTAAGCCAGTTCGTCAGCGTGATTTGGCGTTGTTGTTGCTGCCTTTGCAGTTGCCATTGGTATTGGTAGTAGTATTGGTATTGTTGCTGTGGCTGTGGCTGCTGCCGCTTTTTTACTCTTTTCTGGCTTGTTTCATGCTGACCCACTTTTGGTGGCAATACGTGAGCCCAAACAGTGGGTTAAAGAAGCAGAGAAAGCTTACAAAGCTTAAAAATGAAATATTGTTCTTAAACGTTATTTATGTATATCAAATAAATTTTAACATAAGTAATTCAAAAACAGTTATTTTTACATTTATTTAGCTTTTAAACTATTTTTATAATTGCTAAAGCTCTGGCTAGACTTTTGCCCCACTGTGCCGGGCAAAAAAGTCATAAACTGAATTGCCAACAGGTTATGGCGACGAAGACGAAAGATGGTTTTGTTGCTCTTTTTGTTTTTGTTGATGTTGCTGTTGCTTGGCTGCTCGGAGTAGTAAAAAGGGCCATGACAGTGACACTTTGAAGTTTGAGGTTAAATCGTCAATGTTGTTGCCTTGGTCTTGGTCGTGGTCTCTCTGGTTGCATTGGTTGCTGCGGCTGTGGCTCTGTGTCTCTTGTGATATTCCCCAAACATATTTCGTGCGGCTTTATTGTAATTTTTCTTTTGCTTTATTTGGCTATGTTTTTATTTCTCTTATTTTTGTATATTTTATGCTGCACTGCATTCGAAAGACTTAGACAACGAACTTGCCAAGAAATAACTTTGAACTCACGCATGCTCGCACGTTTTTATGTTTTGGCTTATTAATTATTTTTTTTTCGCTTGTCCATCCACTCACACACGAGCTCGGATTTGAAAAGTGAAATTTCAAAGTAGAACAAGCGGCAGAGGTAGCAACAGCAACAACAACAACAACGCACGTTTAGAGGTTCCAATAAAAATGGGGTCACTTGTCGTTGGCCAGTCGGTGGTGAACCCCCCTCTTTCTGTAGGCCCCCCTTGCAAGCCCCACTGACCATTGATCGCATAGATCACGCGCCGTCTGTTGTTGCTGATGTTGTTGTTGATGTTGTTGTTGCTGTTGCTGTAGTTGTTGCCGTTGTGCATTGTAAATTAATTGCAGTCGCGTCGCGTCTGTTTTGGATTTTTTATATATGTATTTCTTTTTGGCTTGAACCGTTCTCAACCAGTTTTAGGCCATCCATCGTGTGTGCCATTAAAATGCACCACGAACTTGACAACGAAACGGAATAAATGGTGAAATATTTGTCTTTCAGCTTAAAGACTTTCCCTGTGACTAGATATATGCACTAAGTTCTGTTATTTGCCATGGGTTAAGTTGTTGGGTTAACCGATTTTTAAAAAGTTTTAAGTTTTACCAATGGATTGGTATTTTCAGCATAGAAATTAGAAACTCTTTAAAGTTTGACTAATATTTTCCATTTTGTATATCTCAACATGAAAAGGAAATAAGTAATTTTCGCACTCTTATAAATTGACTTTCCCTGGGAATATATATATATATATATCCGGTGTATTCTTGCCTTTGATCTTGTAACAAAACTTTACAACTTTGTTGCCTTCTCCTCTATTTTTTAGTTCGTAACAACAATCAAGTTTAATTGCGTATTTCATAAGATTTTCGCTATGCACTGTTTGCTTTTGCTGCTAATTAAAGTTTTTTAAAGTTAAAGCCAAAGAACGGCAAGAACAATAATAAAACCAGAACAACGCTTAAATATTAATAATTGATTATAATGCTATTACGGACATGATTTATTCTCGTTAGAATCTTGGTCAGTGGTTCGGCGAGGCGTGAATTAAGGCAGCGCCGTTGTTGCAAAATCAAAAGTTGCACTTGGCTTGTGAATTTAATTTTTTAATTGCCGAAAATGAGCGAGTGCATAAATTATGAAAATTGCGAAATCTTAAAGGCAATGTATAGATCTACAGCTGCTCATCCATTCCACTTCCGGCACGCGATTCATTTCCGTTCTGCTTTTCCAGCTCTTCTTTTACACCCCCTGCCCTCTTCCCACTCATTTGCTGGCATCAATCAAAGCTCTCAATCAAGAGCAAAAGTAATCAAAACTAACAGAGACAATAAAGAGGGGAAAAACACAATCCAAACAAATAAAGTCAACACACACAGGCACACATACAAATCATGGTTGTAAACAAAAAGGGAAGAAGTTGGGGCGAATAAGGCAAAAATCGTTAAAAATAACAATATGTGTGTGTAAAAAATGGCATGGCAGAGGCAACATCACCATCGAATGGGCCACAAAAAACAAACAAACAAACAAACAACAATACACATACACAAAATAGAAATGGAGAGCAACTTTCACCCAAGGTCATTGTGTCTTTAACTGCGCCACAGCACAAAACAGCAAGCCAGCAGCAGCAGCAACATCGGCAATAGCAACTAGCAACTTGCAACCGCTGGACAATATGAATATGCGACGGCGACACGACACGATCGTCCGAAAACGACCGACGCCCGATTTGCTATTTCCACTAAAAACAAAGGCTAGAAAATATAAGCTTTTAGAGGTGAAGAAGGGATACTCTTTCTATTGCGAAAGATCTTACTTGTTGCTATTTTTACTCTTCTTTAGTTAGTCAAAAAGTAAACTAGCTTTTATACCCTCTGATAGAGTATGACTGAAAACTAAGCTAGCCTGATTGTCTGTCAAGTCGCGGAGTGAATCATCGTAGGAACTGGATAGTTCGAGGGGGAAAAAGTATCTTTAAGTGGCTACTGCATGTGCCAAAAATAAACTGTAGCAAATTGCAGAAGTTGAAGTTGGAAAAGCTGCTCTCCGCAGGCTAAGGAAAGGTCGAGAGTGAAGGCGATGAACATTTACCAGATACTTCATGTTGGTTTTATGGGAATGTAATCGAATTAGGAGTAGTGTTGCATGTTTGGCAGACTAAACTAACTCAATTTAATTTATGAGTTAAAAATATTTTAAATATTTATATCTACCTCTACTCCCTCTTTAAAGTATCTTTTTCACTCTCCATCTTCATTAATTATTCACTCTAAAACCGCTTAGGCCAACCTAAATGCCTGCTTAGGCATCTCAATCTTGGGCACTTCAATCTGAAGATTCCCCCATCATTCATATTATCTACGCCGACACCATAATCTGGGTCATGCTTAGCCACATTGTTAGCCTGGCTGCAATTAAGTGGCCAAAAAAAGTTAAGAGATGAGAGAGTGGAAAATTACTTTTAATTGACAAAAAGTTTTTATTTTTAAGAGATGAGAAGATAAACTAAGATTAAAGAAATTCCGCAGAAGTTTGTCTTTCACGTTTCTAATGCGTTTCAAATTACATCATTAAGTTTTTTTTTCTAAAATATTGAAGTTAATGAGCTGATAATTAGCACAGGAAGAAATTTATGGTTATATATAAAATCTTATTTAAATATTTTATGTTTTTTTAAGGGTAAAACTTTAGAAAATCAAGAAACAAGTTTTGATAGACTTGGAGGATTTTTTACTTAGTTAAGAACAATTTATTTGTTAGCTGTTTTAATTAGATTATAAATTTAAATATCCAACTTGATTTTGTAGATTTTTTAAAGTTTTTTTTTAAGTACAACCAAAAGCTTAACCCATGACAGGCGACGCGTCGCAACACGTAGCACAGTTTGATTAGAACAAAACGAAGCCACACGGCAAAGGCAACAGAAAAGCCACAGCGAGAGCAGCCATGATGTTGCATAAATTTAAGTGCCACAGATACAAGGCGCAAGATACAGAAACGAGTTACAGATACATCAAGAAGCAGAGTCAGCAGCAGTGGCAGAGGCACAGGCAGGCGCGCCAGCAGATGAGGTCTCTCCTCAGAGGCAAAGTCAAAGTCGAAGTCAGAGTCGGCGGCATAGAAATGCGGATGCGAACTGGAGACCCCACTTCGCATGTACATATATATATATATATATACACGATATATAGGTATATATCGGTGTCTACCTCCAGACGGGCTGCGGTGAAAGAGCAAAGTATCTTAGTATCTTAACATTTCAAATCCGCTGCGGTTCTGTGTGGAAACGAGTCTGGAAATTGGGTCAGTGGCACAGTATGCATGGCATTCTCTGTCGCTGTATCTGTGTATCTTTAGCTTTTTCTGTATCTGTGAGATACATATATACATATATATCCCCTACAACTGTGTGGGCTTCATTTCTTCGCCACTTCGGTGTCTTTCTTTGGCTCTTTCTTCTTTGGCTTTCTTTGTGGTCAATATAATGATTCTGCCCGACTGGCTGGTTCGGTTTAGTTTGGTTCGGTTTGGTTTCTTCTTGGTCTCCTCAACTTGACTTGGCTCGCATATTTTTGTGGCTACTACTCCATTTTATTTTACTTTTTTCCTTTTTTTTCTGATTTTTGTGGCCGAACGTGCCTCAATGCTACGCCGTCAGGTTGCTAATGGGATCTTAAAAAGCGGCTCCAAAAGGGGCGTGTGTGGCATAAGCAATGGGGCAACACCCAAATGTCACTCGCTTACTCGGCTGCTTTTCAAGATTCCATCTAAAAATTAAAATTTCCATAAATTACACATACGCCATGTGGTCCACACAGAAGCTATCCGAAATTTGAAATAAAAGAGTCTTCGGCTTAGGCTTAGTTTGTTTTGCACATTTTGAATGACATTTGAATTTATTTATAAAATAATTAATTAAATATTAAGCATTACAATTACGAAATAAATATTTACAAATCGAAATGTGTTGAACAAAATTCAAGTTTGTTTTTTTTTTGTTTTGTTTTTAGAAATAAATAAAATTGCACGATAACTAAAATAACACAATTATTAATTGTTTTTTTTATGGAAATTATACATTAATTTAAATTAGAATTAAACTATTTTATGGTTTTATTTAATCTGATTTTTCGGGTGCTGAGTGTTGGATTTAAGATAAATAATTTCGGTTATATATCGAACATAATTTATATTTAAGATTAACGTTAAAACTTTAGCAACAAACTTTTTTTTTAAAAAACAAATTAACAACGCTTTACGCTATTGGCTAAATTAAATCGAGTTTATTACTTGAGTACATTGCTAAACGATTTTCATCATTTTAAGATTTTCCATTCTATTTTACGTTTCAGATTTTCTTTTTTCTTTTCTTTTTTTTTTGCAAATTAATTATTATGAATAATATTTTGCCAAGCCCGCTACTAAATCTTAAAAACTAAGAACATTACTATAAAAATAACGCTTTTTCCATTGGTTTTTTGTACATTTTAATAGTAGTTTAATTTAAAATTGTTATTGCTTTCTTGATTAGTTTTAATTTAAAATGTAATTTGTATGCGTCACTTTTTTTCAGTTTTCAACATGATGAGGTACAGACAACATTCAGAACTTTATACAACTTTTGTTAATATTATTGTCTAGATTGTTAGAGGGGGGGTATTATGATTTACCTGTGCCAGGACCTTTGCAGCTAGAAGGTCGCGACCCTGCATCAAAACAGAACAACAGTTGCAGAATGACAATTGGACGCTTCGTTGTTCTTACATTGCTTGTGGTCTCTTTGGATTTTCGCTTTAACTGAAGCTAAGGAGCTAAAGATGGATCTTATAAAGTGTTTCTAAACTTGATCTTATGTTTTTTTCTATAATTGGAGGTAGTAGGTTGATGTTAACTAAGGTTGAACTAACCTGTTAGAAGTTAAAAGGGATAAATTTTGTTTCTTCTCTCTAGTTAAAGATTGGTTTTTGTATCTACAACAATTTAAAGTTTCTTTTCTAATATCTTTTCTTTGACATTTTAAAAGTTTTTTGGCATTTTCCTAACCTTCATTTCTCACTAATTACGAATAAGCGAAGAGATCAAAAGCAACCAACAACAACGAATATCAAAAAGTGTGTGTATGCCACTGCGTGACCTTTTCAAATTTGAACTATATATACTCTCTATATATAGACTGGGATAATCTCCGAGTTCTGAACGATACTCAGACATTATCCTGGCCCAGCACTGGCACACACGTACACTGTGAACACAGGAAGAATTCTACCAGCTTGGATCCTTAGAGGAACCAAATTACAGAAAAGTCTAAGATGACATGAACTTGAATGGATCAAAGAATATATATCAACTGCTTTTTCGGGTTACAGTTGATAAAAAACCACATTTGCTATTAATTTTAATGATTTTAAATGCCTTGAAAGCAGTTTCAAGAACTTTTTAATCACTAAACCCTTACGAGGGTTCCAAACTATTGGTTTCTTGGCCTAAAAAGATTTTTGAATTTGTTTCCCTAAATATCAAATAGCAGAGATATATATTTTTGTCATATCAAGTTCAAATTTCAGTGGTTTTCAAAGCATAAAACTTCATCTCTCCAAGAATCACCAAAATTTCTACTTTTTAAAGAAGAACTTCTGGAGATTCTGGCTAGCTGAACCTATACCCATAGCCTAACCACCAAATCGAATCAAAAAGTCATCTTAGTTTTCTGTGCTGGTCATAGAATATCTCCCTGGTAGATGCTACTGGTTTGTGCGGCTAAAACATAAAGCTCGTGGAGGAGCGTCAGTCACGCCCAATTCTCTTGTGTATCTGTTGATGTTTGAGCAGGTGCGCCTTCTGGCGAAAGGCCTTGGCGCAGACGTCGCAGCGGAAGGGTTTCTCGCCGGTGTGGGTGCGCAGATGCACCTTGATGTTGGACTTGTTGAGGAATCCTCGATTGCAAATGCTGCACCGATGGACGGGCTTCTCCTTGCCAAGCAGACCACTAAGATCGCTGGCACTGAAGCCTGATGGTGAAATGGCGCTCATTTGGGGCGTGGTTGGTGGACCACCGCCCTCTACCTGCTGTTGTTGTTGTTGTTGCTGCTGTTGTTGCTGCTGGTTGGACTTCTTTTGGGAACGGGATCTCTTGGCCTTGGGCGCACCAGTTCGCATCTCCGAGCCCGTCGTGCTGGCCGTTGTCGTATGCGGATAATTGCCCAAGAGATCCGGCGAGCAGAGGCCATTATCCTTGAGAGATAGGCCAGAACCTTGCATGGAGTAGCCACCTTGCTGATGGGGATTCCCCGTCCCCTGGTTGTTAGTTGGATTGCTCAAGTAACGCGGATTGATCATCAGACCATTTGGATTGTCCGTGGTGCTGACCACCGAACCGGGTGGACTGCAACTGCTGCTGGTGGCCGCCGCCAGTTCGTTACAGTACGAGGTAGATGTCGGCGCCTGGGGATCACCCTTGATCCCCGCTCCTTGATTCGCTCCGCCACCCGAGGATTGGCCATTTGGTGGACCGTTCTGCAGGCGATTCTGCAGCAATGGCATATAGCCATGGCTCAGTAAACTCTGGAGCGTCGAACTGCTGGCATGCATGGGCAGTGGACTGTGCGGCAGCATGAAATCTCCGAGAGAATCCTGCTGTGATACCAAAACCTTGGCCGACTCCTGCTGTATGCAATTGCCATCGATCCAGGCATCGAGATCCATCCAACTGTCCCGCGTATCATTGTTATCGTCTTTGTCCAGCTGATTCGGCACCGTGGTATCCGCAATCGCGGAACCTATAATGGCGGCTATATCATCAATGGAATTCATATCCACATACTCCGTCAGATCCTTGTAGATGCGAACACCGGAATTGTGCAGGGAATCGGCCACCTGATCGATGGGCGTTAATGTGGCTATGCTGGGACCGGCTCCATTGCCATTTTGTGTGGATCCCGTACCGGAACCATTCATCACACAGCTATCGGCAACGGAGTAAAGCTTAGAATCTAGTTGACTATCGGCGAAGAGCTTGACGTCCGCCAGGCAACCATCGTTGCCACCATTTTGGCCACTCCCACTCAGGACACTCTCTGGTAAGCAGGTGGAGGAGGAGACTATGTTGTGCTCATTGGAGTTGGAGTTACTATTGCTATTGCCCCCATTCGATTGCGTTGTGGATGTGGGATTCGATTGATTCTGCTGGTGATAGGCACTCTGCATATAGTTGTTATTGCTCTCATCCGGCAGCCTTTGGGCAATGGCATGGTAATGGTGGCCAGAGATTCCATTTATAGACAGATGACCCGTATACCCTGTAAATGGTGGCAGCGGCTTTAAATCCGACAAGGCATTCAGGGATGATCCATTTAAGAGCAGATTATCCAGCACATCCAACGAATTCTTCTGATCCGCATCACTGGGCAGGGAGTCCAAGTCATGCTCCAGCAACAGCTTGTGCCCATCGAGCAGATACTGATCCTGGGCAGAGGTTTGGGGCGGTCCCCAGCACGGGCTCATCAGCAGGCTCTCAACTTCCGATTCACTTGGGCCGTTCATGCTGCAAAACTTCATTGTCAGTGGACCCAGGCGATCGAGGCGAATCTTCCGGCGATCCGAGGGTTAACAGATCCTGTGTTATCCAAGGGCCAAGTTATGAGCTGAAAAGAGGTGGGATAAGAAAAGGGATCTTTAGTTTTTGTATCAACTATCTGGGACACTATCTACTGATCAAGCTGTTAGATAAAGATAATCGACTTTTACATGCAAGTTATTAGATTTTAATCTTCCTAAGCTTGAATGGTGAAGGAAAATCTATAAGCTTTCATCTTAACGTTCTTCCATAGTTTACCTTAATCACCAAGTTACAAGAATTAATGTTAGTTCCTTTTCTCACGCAACTTCATTCATCAAATCTAAGCTTGGCCCACTGATCCATTCTTAGATAAAATATCTTCTAAAGCCCCCGAAAAATCCCCAAGACAAAGAATAAGCTTAGATTGTAATTAAGCTTATACTAGCTTTCCGCTGTGCTGGCCCCACCTCTCTACATAATCAATAGCAGGTTCTTCTTCCCGCTTTACCCTTCCCCTCCCTGCACTTGCTGACAACCTGACACATCGATCCCGACCCACTGATAGCCCTCACTAATGATTCTTTAATATGAAAATATTAAACAAAACTCATGGCCCGCCCGTTGACCAAAACTTTATGTATATGTATTTTTCCACAGGGCTTCCCTTTGCCCGCTTGCCTTCGCCCCTCCAAAGCCCAACTCCCCAAAAAAGAGATTAAGTTAAGACATTCGATAAGCCTTAATGTCCGTAAACAAGAAGAAGAAGAAGAGGTAGCAACGGCATGGGATGCATAGGAAAACGAAGAAGAAACTAAAATCGATACCAGAATCGGCCAATAATAATTTCCAAGCGGTATTTGGGTCAAAACATTAATAATCAGTTAAATTAGCATATAAATTGGTGGCGATAGAGTGAGATGGGTATACCTAAGGCGAGGGAAAGAGAACACATTTGGCTACGAATGTCTGTGTTGATCGTATTCGATATTTGTATTTTGATGGTGCACGCTTGATTGGAACCCAAGTGGAAGTTCTCCAACGAAGCCACATCATATGAGGGGCCGACAATGAAAGCACAACAAAAACACACAGGTGTAGACCCAAAAAACCTAAGAGAAGAAGAAGCAATGTCGGCCCACACTAAACACCAACAATTATATACACTTAGAAAAATTACAAGGACAAAGAAAGCCATATGTTTAGATTAAGTGGCAGTGCAAATAATGTTAGCCTTTAAAAGATGGGTGCTGTTTTTTAAGAAAAGTAAATTAAAAGTTAAAGTTTTAAATAATTTCGAATAAAGTTTTTTTATTATAAGAAAACCTTAAAAAGCTGGTTATTGAAAAATGTTAAAATTTATATTTTATTTTTTTATAATATGCTAAACAACATTATTTTGCTTAGTGTATAAGTTCATTTGGTTAACTAGTTGGGATACAAAACGAAATGAAATGAAATGAAAGAAACGGTAAAGCAACAACACTCCCCCTTCTTTTCTCTCTCTCTCTCTCTCGCTATCCCCCACTTTTGTGCATAAACAGTTAACTTGATTTCGAGGCTTGGCCAGCAAGAAGACAAAGCTGAAGACGTAGAAGGTGAAGAAGAGGCAGAAATCAAAGCTAGACACTGTCCAGCTGCAAAGAGAAAATTTCGCTTTCAACAGGTTAACGTTGGCAACATTTATAGCCCCATATTGCCGGATCTCCGGGCAACATGTTGCTAGTTCAGCTAGCATGCGGAAAGAAGAAGAAGCACCAGAAATAACAACAACAACGTTGGCGGCTCTGCCAACGTTGGCGTCAAGCCAGCTAAGCAGGCGCAGCTAAGCGTGGCAACAGAGCAGCGACTGCGGGCAGCAAAAACTACCGTTAGCCGAGAGACGACAAGAAGAGACCTGCTGACATACTTCCGCGATCGGCAAAACCCGAATCGTGTTTGCCGAAGCCCGGCTTTTCTCTCTCTTCGGATCTCGCCCTCTCTCTCTCGCGCTGAGGCATTGTAATTGTGGAGTTTTTGGATGCTCATGCTCAGTCTCATTACCAACTTTTTGCTGGCACAGTTTCGGGGGATTTTTTGTTATTGTTGTTTTAAGCTCGTCTTTGATTTTTTTGAATTTCAGATTGCAAAGAAGTACACAAAGGGAAAATTCAATAAGATTTTATATCTCTATGAGCTGGATTTTGTAATCTGGTAATAAAGATTTAAGAAAAATATAATTATTGCAATTATGATTTCTTTAAAGACTATTCATTTAAGATGAGAAAGCTGCATTCAATATTCCATTAATATTCTGTCTTCTAAGAAACTCCTTGCTTTTACCTTTAACACCCTAAAGCCCATTTACAAACTTTCAATATAATCCTAAGTGTACTCTAGAGGGCGCTATAAGCCTGAGTGATTTGGGAATTGAAATTGGCGTGAAATATTTTATGGCAAACAAAAACGCCACTCATTCTCATTCCGATTCCCATTCCCATTCCCCCGATTCTCCCAATTCCGATTCAGATGCCGTATTCTATATCTGAATCTGAGTTGGCCATTGTTATTGTTTGACTGCGCGTCAGATTTTACACATTTTTGTTTGGCCGGCGTTTTATTGTTGCTGCTACATGAGCATTTTGCTTTTAATGAGCCACATTGTAACGGTGGTCCGCTGCTCCGTTTGCATTTGAATGCCCACCGTCCCACTCACACACTCCCACTTGGACGCACACCTGAGAGGGACACCAATACCAACACACAAATGGCGGGGGCGCGCCGCACAATGGGCCTCTATTGTAATTTAAGCTTGTAAATGGTCAGAAGAGCCCACAATGGACACAATGTCAGCCGACAGAGATCGGCTGTGGGGGCATTATAATTACTGCTATGTCAGTCAAACGGGCTGAAAACCTTTAACGGTTATTCCGAACGAATTAGTGCGAATTTTTGACAGCCGAGTGATTTTATGACCTTTCAGTTGAGTTTTTTTTTTGGGGTTTAATGTGTTGATGAGTTTGAGGTTAGATTTTGGTTAACAGTTTAATTAGAAGTGAGAACTAAATCGGAAAGTGGTACTAAATATATTCAAAGTTGAGATAAGAAAGAGATCATATAGTCCTCCTTAACTCCTATTAATGTCAAACTTATACTTTCTACTCATTTGCCAAACAAAAGACTTAAGACACGAACTTAATTATAATCCAGTTAGTTAAGCACCTTTTATGGAAATGCTATTAGCAATTAAGAAAACATGTTTCCATATATAGAACACCCTAAGAAAGTATCTCCTATTAGCTAAATGCTTAGCTGCTTCAATATGGCTTAAGTATCTCACAGATAACCGTTCTAAATCCCTTCACAATCTCCCACAAAATCAGCCTGGACAATTGATCGGCCAACAAGCTTCGGTCGAAGACAACAAAAATAACTTACTTAGCCAACTTAACAGGCAACCACTAAATGTCTGACCCTAGCAATTGACCAACAAAATGAACTCTAAACTGCATCAACAACACGATGAGGGCTCCTCGCCGCGAACAACAGCTGCTGATCAGATGGAAATTGAGTTCTTAACGTTTCCTAGAAAACTCGAACGGAAATTGGTCTTAACCTTTGGCGGCAATCAACTTCCGTTTAAATGTTCGAACACGATGCGGCGGCAAAGGTCAAAACGTTTTGGCCAAAGTCAAGCTGCAAACACTTTCCACCACCGCCCGCCCGTCCTCACCCCAACTTCTACTCTTCACGGACCCGAAAATGAAAAGAAAAATCAGGTCGGCATTGGTGTTTTCCGCGGGGCTGCTGGCCGCTGCTGGAAGGTGGTTCGCTAGGAAAAAGCGAATGAAAAATTATTTGATTGCAAAATTTACAACCGCAAAAAAAAAACCGCACGTACCAGCTTCTACTATGAAGGAAAAACTAAGAAAAATAATAAAAAAAAAGAGCTTTGACCAAGACCGAGAAGCCGAAAAAAAGCCTCGGAAACGTGTGGCTTGCATTGAGGTCGCCATCAGTCATTGAAGGTTTGCGATGCTGTGTACTTGCACCGTCCCCTCACTGCGCTCCCAGACCCATCTATCTTGGCCCACTCGGATGTGGATGCAACAAATTGTTGGCAGTGAAAAATGAACGAACTCGAGAAGAGGCATAAACTTGAGTTTGGCTAGCCGGCGGCTTTTATACTCTTCGGGGAATTTGTTTTAAGCCATAATAAGACGGTTTAGATTCATTTTTGGACATAAGTCTGGTCTTCTTTTTAAGAAGACTTTAATAATCGTAATTAATCGTACTAGATAAGATATTCAACATACTTCTTAGCTTTAAGGGTATTTCAAGATACTGAGAACACTCGGCCGACTGGCTAACTGGAAACTAAAAAATGAAAACTGGGAAACTGAGTGCTAAGCCAGTGGTGGGAAACGTGCTTGGGTCTTAATTCTTGATTCTGTGCTCTTGGTTCCAGTTCTTCATCTCCTTGGCAGCTGCGCACTTGACCGCACATGTGGCACGTGTGCTGGATGGCGGATGGTGTGGAGCTGTGTGAATTGTGGCATGCCCCTTTCTTGCCTCCCTCTCCAGAATGACTAACTAACCCAAAAGACTGAGACGAGGAGCCAAGCCCATCTACACAGACTGGTCAACAAATAGGCGCAGCACTTGGCCACAGACGCTATCAAAATCTTGTTTTCTCAAGTGGACACTGAGGGAAATTGGGATCAGCTTCGATCTTTACTTTAGACATCTAAGAAGTGGAATGATTTTTCTAGTTCATTATTTTAAAGAACTAACTAGCTCTTTCCCTCAGTGTACATCTTAAAGAACATGGCCAAGAAGACTTTAACAAATGGGTGGGCGTTCAGCTGCCTGTTGTATATCAAATGAGTTGGCTAAAACCATCTATCTGCACATGAATTATGTTGTTCGAGGTGTAAATTAGGTTTTAAATTAACTGCTCTAGATGAGATGAACATGACCAATAGATGGCGCAGCATGCTCTACATAACTCTAGGAACCTGTTTCAAAATGATAATTATTTAAAAATGTAATAATTTGAAACGGGTTTGAAATATGAATAAAAATTAAAGGGGATAGAAATTCAAAATTCCTTCGATGTACAAACTGGTTATTCCTTTTGCCAACTTCTTTACCCTCATCTTAGATATCTTCAAGTTTTCTCATCATCTCAGCTTAATCTTTCTTTAAACTCTTGTGGCTTTTTGAGGTCTTTTTATCGCCTGCTGTTTGTTTTAGCCATGAATGAACTTCTGGCCGAAACAATTTGCTCTGGTCGGCACTTGACTCGCCTCGACATAACTTAACTTAACTCTTGGACCGGGATCCGTTTGGGGAACTACAACTGCCGTTAGCTTCCACGGGCCTCCACTCCCTTTTCTTTTTCGTTTTTTGTGGCCAACATGTGTCCAACAAGCCAGATGACAAGCTGGCGATGGCGATAAGGCCGGGTCTGAAAGGCGTGCAGCAAGGCTTGGCGATACTTTTATGACCGAGGCTGTATATGGGAGAGGGAAAGAGATGTACTGGCCATGGACCCTCCACGCAGCGTGTCCAAATCCCAGAGCAAATCCACTCCCTGGAGGCCCAGCAACAACTATGCAAATTTTTGTGTATTTTTTATGATGCTTAACTATTTTTAGTCGTTCTTTTTTTTTCTCTCCAGCTAGCTAGTATTTTGTTGTTATTTAAATGCGCTGTGTGTGTTTGTAGGAGAGTGTGCGTGTCGAGACTCTATTATTATTATTATTTCTGTTCGTGGGTTTGTTGTGGTCATCGGAGGAGAGCAACAACCACAATGACAGCATGTCTGGCAAGTCCCAAAAAGCATTGCCCAGGTCAGCGAACTTTTTTCCCTACTCTGACGGTTTTTTTTTTCCCCTTTTTTTGTGAATAATATTTGCGTAGTTTATCCCATTTGTAGTTGTTTTGTTATTGTTGTTGTTGTAGTGCCTTTTGTTGTGCAGCTAAATTTGCAAATTAAAAGTTAAAAGTTTTTGGACTACTCCTTGGGTTAAAAATATATTTTTTGGAATTCATACATACATATATAGCTGCAAATTATTCCATCATCTTTGGTTTTATGGGTAATGATCAGCTAATGACTGAAGTTGATTGGTCGGTTTAGGCTTTGACTATCAAAACGGGGACTTTTGTAGGTTTTTGTATAATTTGATTAATGTATTACAAATGCTCATAAGTTTGTCATAGGAAAGCTATCTTTAATGAGATGGGATAGATAGCAACCTATCTAAGTCGAGTTTTAATCATGATAAAGTTCATCAAGCGCAGACAAAATAACTTTAGTTCCACTTGAATTTTACCCATTTCCTTTGACTTAATGCCTCAAATCAAAGCAATACCTCAATTATAACAAAGCTCATGCTTAAAGCCAAGCTCAAGAACTTAATTTCGTTTCAAAAGTCTTGTAATTGATATGTTATGCTCGCCTCCTCATTTGCTGTCTTAATGGATGGGGGGAATGGGTAGAAGAAATGCCTCCTTAACTCGCCGCCCAGCACACCTCTTTATTAAAGATCGAATCGTCGGCGATTGTGAGCTCAATTTTGAAATTCAATTAAAAACGAATGAAGAAAAGCAGAAAATTTGAGAGAAAGATATCGAGGTAACAACGAAAATCTTTAACCCAAAATGCAACTTAATGCTCAGCGAATTTGTTACGCTCATTGACGCTGCCAGACTGCCAGCTGGAAGAGTTAAAAACTTTGGAGTTGCTCTTGATGTTGGTGATGTTGTTGTTGGGTCTATTTTATATAGCAAGCAGATCTGGCTTACACTGAGAAAAAACTCTAAGAGTAAGAAAGTTTAAAATAAGATATGCAGAAAATAAGAGAGAGAAGATGTGTAGTAAAAAGAAGTTCCTTATTGCTTGAAATTGTTGTTTAAGGATGAATTTAAGGATTGCATATTTTAAGGAATGTTAAAAAAGATTTTTAATTAATTATTTTGATTTTAAGAAAGTTCAAGAATATTTAAGACATTTTACCTATGAATAATATCAAAAAACAAACTAACTTAAAAATGATATCAAAACCCAAAAAAGAAAATTTAAATATTTTTTAACAGAATTTTACAATATTTAATTTAAATTATTTAACAATAAAATGTTAAATAACTGTTAAAAAATTTTATTTTTAAATAAGAATATTAGCCCTTTTTGTAGATTAAGAAAGATATTTCCTATTAATAAAAAATCTAAAAAATATTAACTCCCAAATATCTCCTCCTAAAATTTTCTCCCAGTGCAGCTCTATCTCTCCCGCTTTGCTTTGTTTTTGGGGGAACTGCCGCTTGTTGCTTGTCGAATGAGTAAGCGTAATTTTGCGTCATCTAACGGTACAAACAGCCGCTACTGCTGTTGTTGTTGTTGCTGGCATTGTTGCTTGAGTTGTTGTTATTTTATTTGTAATTTTTTGGCTGCCATTGCCATTCCGTTCTTACCAGCCTATGGTTGTTGCTTTTGTATTTTAGACCATTTTTGTCAGACAAACAAACGGTTTTATGATTTATTTTTAGCCCGACCAACGGCTTGGCAACAGTAGCCGTCGCCCCTCTGCTTCTTGCCCCTTCCTTTTACCCAAAAAATGTATAAAAAAAAACATTTAAGTGCTAGCTGTAAATGCGAGAAGAGAGGAGAACTTTTTACTTCCGACTGCAGTGGGGAAGTTCGTTTTGAGGTCGCCTAAAGAGGCTTAATTGTTTTTCGAATCATTATATTTTCCAGCTTGTGGATTTTTGGCTGCACATTGCGCATACGTCATGTGGGAAGATTGGATTTTAGGCGGGGATATACGATCAACTAAGGCAGGTGGTTTAATGGGGCTTAAGGAAGTGGAATACGATTTTTGGGTATTAGATAATTAATAGAAAATATATCTTAAAATTGGTTAAAAAGTGCGCTTTAATAATACTTTTAATCATATTGTAAACATTTTTTGAGTTGTTTAACAAAAAATCTTTGAAATATTTGTAAACTAACAGAAAATATAACTGGAAATAAGTCGGGTTATGGTGCTTTTTGAAATACTTTCAGTGATTTTATAGCCTTACAGCGCTTTAAAGAAAATTCTTAATAATTGGTCAAAATATTTAGATTCTACATAGTTTTAAATGCACAGGTTTGGAGGGTTCTACTAAGAAACTCTTCAAAAGTATAAAATAGAATTTTCCAACATTTAAATTTTTAGAGTTTTCTATGGCTCCCTTAAACGTCTAATAGACGAAATTCTCATGTTTATAAGCTGATTTAAAATAATAGATCAATCAAATATGCTTAACATAACATGATTAACATAACATAGCTCAAGCTAATATGATTAAAATGATTATTTATTAAAATATAAGATTATATCTTAAACATTCTTTTATCTCATTCATGTTAAGAAGATGCTTAGTCACCTAAATGTCATGGAATAATCCAGAGGTACAAAAACTGTGTAAGAAACTTTGAATCATAATTTATTTTTAACCCATTAAAAAGAACAAGGAAAACTAAGAATGTAACTCAGTTAGTTAGTATATATATTATCAGCTAGTTAGACCAATGAGAACATATTTTTGCAATAGTTTTTTCACCTCGCAGAACTAACTTCTAGCCAAATTCCGTTCCCAGTTCTAATTAGCATTGTAACCAAGACGGGATGCCTTGTCACTGCCCATTAGTGGCATGTGAATTTCACAATTGTCATAAGTAGAGCCCTACAGGCGATGCCCCTCTCAGTCTCCACCCCTCACAATGATCATTCTCGGCCTGTCTATAGGCCGTCTATTTGTATTTCATAACAGGTGAGTAATATACAAACATATCGGAAACGATTTCGGTCAATGACTTTTGCCTGATTTGTTTATAAGCCAGAATTGAGAATTGAGAATATTCTTCTTATTCGCGAGGCCGTTGACTTGAGGTATTTCGGTTTGTTTGGCTTTGCATTGGCTTTTGGTTAGGTTGTAGAATATTCATTGATTACTTACTGTTACGAAATTGCAGCTTCAGCTAATAGACATTTTGAAAACAAATGTTCAAAAATTTATCAACTTTGTGGTTTAAGTTTTTTGTGTTTTGCGATAATCCTTGTTTTATTTTTAATATTTAATAATCCTTGGGGTGGTAATTTAAAAATCCTTTAATAGGTTGTCGTTTTTTTAATAGTTTTTAATGATTCAAAGAAGTAAAAGAAAGATAGAAAATAGGCCAAAATACCAAACTAAAAACCAACACCGAATGCGGGTAAAGTAAAAATGAGGAAGGTAAAAATTAAAAAATAATATTTTTGTATACTCACAAAAACAATGGGAAGAAGACATAAAACTATGCATAAAATAATGAGCGGGTATAGATATTGTTTATTATGTGTGGGATAAAGATATATAACTTTTTGGGATGATAGTTCCGTAGTGGATAATAGTTTAATTTTGATTGATTTCCAATATTTTTGATTTGGTTTTTTGTTTTTTGCAGTATGTACAATGGGCAAACGCAGCTGATTTCCGGGTTAAAATATTTACAACAGCGTTTTGGTTTTGGGAGTATTTAGCATGTGTAATATTATTTAATTTTTATTTAAATAATTTGTTTTGAATTTTAACTTTTTATTAAGCGTATTTCCTTTCGTATTGCACTGTTTTCTGTTTTGTTTTTTTTTTTTTTTCACTTTTAGCACTTTTTTGGGGATTTAAGTAGTTGAATTTGGAATGTATTTGACAATTTCTTTAACTTTTTGTCAACCATTTTCACAATTTATTAGCCGCATTTTAATTTTGTATTTGAATTTGTTCACTTCTTTTTCTTTTTGTATCTTTCTTTCTTTTGTATTTTTGCTATGGGTTTGTTCTAATTTCTGTGGCTTGCTCTTTCGATTATTGCCACTTCACATGTTCGCCACACTATGTATCTCTGTATCTGTATCTCTCTACGTGTAGATGTGTGCGAAGAGGAGGAAGATGAAGTCCACGTCCACAATCAAATCGAACCGAACCGCGAAATCGACAGAAAAAACGATGAAACGCAGACACTGGGTGCGCACAAATCCGCAGACGTCAACGGTAGAAAGCCAACTGTGCGCAGGCGCAACACGAAAAGAAATTTCCGAGCCAAGAAGTTCAACGGCGACGTCGACGCCGACGCTGACAGCACATTGCGCAGATACAAATCACGTTCACGGAGAGCCAGAGAGTTGGTGAGTAACGCAACATGTTCGAAACGAAAACCTCGGAGTCAGCCAGCAAACATGTTGCGGCAGGTGGTCGAGGTCAGTTCGAGACAGTTCAAAGTCAGGGCTAAGTTTGTTTATGTTGCTGAAACGTCGGCAAAAGAGTAGGATTCCGGAACTTTGATTATTTTCACGTTGCTTAAATTGTAATAAAACATTTTTGTTTTGAATTATAATTATTTTTGAGCAACTTATCGTAAAAGTTATCATTTCACTTATGGTAAATTTTTTGGAGATTTAAAAACAGTTTGCTTTTTAGGGTAATGTTACGTTTTTTTTTATTAATCTTGCACCGACTGTAAATTGTGTTTATTCAAAGTTTTAAATGATTATTTTTTAGGATTTTTAGCTCTTTCTTAGATTCTTTCCTCGCGATCATACCTGTTCGAAGCTCTCTTGCTCTTCTCAGCTATTACCTGCTCTCTCCATCTCTCACGCGCTCGGTCGCATACAACTTGACCTACTTAACAAAAATTTAAACATTTTTTCCTGTTATTCCGCCTTGTAAACATGTTGCCAGCAATTTACAGTTTGCGGACTGGGCCGCCAGCAACATGTTGCTTGAAATGAAGCCGTATTGCTTGTGCTGAAAATATATATGTACGTATATGGCATGAAGTTGTTGCATTTCCTCTTTGGCACTTGCCATTGTTGTTGCTTTTTGGCTGATTGTTGGTGTTATTGTTGGCAGTGGGACTGCTGCTAATATTGTTGTTGTTACTGATGGTTGTTGCTTGTTGTTGTTCATTTGCAGCGCCTGTGCAGTTAACGGTATCGCTTCGAAAATGAAAGCTCCGAGCAGCGCTCACAGGTTGTCGTGTTTTGTGTGAATTTTTGTGTTTTTACTCACGACTCTTTTTTGCCACAACAGCAGTTGTTGTGATTTTTTGTTGATTCGCTACACTGCCAATTGGTATTATCATATTTTAATGGAGCTTATAGCGATCAGGGGGAAGTATTTCGGATTTGCTAAGTAGGTTATACTTATTTTTAGGTGAGAAGTTAGTTATAGTATCTTTAAAGGGTAGTCAGGGTGTTAAAATCTCCAAAAATTATGAAAAATCTTAAAAAAAGTTTGAAAATATTCCGATTTTTCTGCAGTCCCATCATTGTACATATAGATAAACCTTGAAAGACAGTTAGGGTATCAAAATCTTCGTTCTTCTGCCAAACCAATCCCATATTAAAGTTAGTATCAGTGTTGGCTGGCACTGGCATTAGCATAAACAAGAGCCACCTCATCACCGTGTTGACCAAATGCAACTGCGTCACCATGGACTTGGTGGTCTCGTTGGGTACTTTCCCCGTCGCCTCCGCCGCATCCGCCTGAATTGCTGGTCATGTTTATGCCTCATGATTTGTTTTTCATCTGCCGCAGCATCTTCAGCGTCTCCCCTCCCTCCTACAACGTATTTGCGATGTGTCTGCTCTTTTCTTCGCTGGAATTAACTTGCGTTTTTTATTCCGCAAAAGTATTTTATATGCATGTTTGTTGCTAACTTTTTTCCATATAGTTTATTTGTATATTTTTGTTATTTTTTTGCATGCGTGACTCATGTTAGTAAATAAAAATTCATCTTGGGATTGTCTTGAACTTTGTCACCTACATCCAAGGGAAGACTTTTCAGGGCCAAGTTTGTTGCCTAAGTCTTTTGTTTGGCAGGCGGTGGTGTGGCTAACAATGGCAAGCAAAAGAATGGTATTAAAGATGAAGGCTTCTTGGAGGGTGTAGCTGATGTGTAATTAAATTTAAGTGTTGGGTTATTAAGGTGGATATTATAATAAATGTATAAAATAAGTAGGTTTGGCATAGTCATTTTTAGAAGCTAACACCTTTACACCTTTTTGATTATTAACATAATCTAACACTCTTGTAATTCCATTACATATTCTGACAAATGTTTGTCTAAAAATAATTGTTAAATCAATCTAAAGATTGACAGAGAACAAAACGAATTTTGGTAATTGCTTGGCCCAGAACAAAACGGAATTCAATTAATGCTCCCAGCCTCCGATATTCTTTTCCCTAATAAAGCTCAATCGTAGCCTCCTTCCCCCTTCCGAAACTGCCGGCAAGTTCCGAGTTCCAAGATCAATAATTTCTTCGCCCAAAGCCGAGACAAGAGGCCAACATTACGGGCAAAAGGGAGAAATACAGTTAGACAAATTCTATGCCCGTCAAATGTCAATCTCCAGATACACACACACACACACAGCCGCAGCTTGTGAGGGAATCAATCTTGGCATTAAAGAAGTTCGGCAAAAGTTGTGAAGAGCGCATACAAAACTAATTGAACTTGGACAGCGTGACACTTCACCAAAAAAAAAAAAAAAAGAAAGAGAGGAAAAAGATATAGAGAACCAATCCGAACAATATAGGAAAGTGCCGCTGGAGTCAAGCCATCAGTCAAAGCATTTTGTTCCAGGCAAATAAAGGCAAGCAATCAAATTCAGGCAAACGCCAAGCACACAGAGTGACGGCCGGGGGGAGAGGTCAATGGGGCAACGGTAAAAAAGTAAAAGAAAATAAAACTCAACCGCACATTGTGTAAATATTGACACGAGGGTCAGGCCCTCAGAACAACAAGATTTGTGCATTTGTCAGGGCCAGACCAGGCCAGCCTCCGTAATTTTGGGTTAGACAAACTCATCCGAATGCTGCCCCAAAAAAAAAAAACCAAAAATGAAGATCTTCCTGAGATCTTCTGCTACGCCACGGGTGGTACGTACCGCCTGACCGCAAAAGATCTGTAAATTAAGGTGCAAATAACAAATTTGTGCAGAAGTCAAAACAATTTGCAACGCCTCCCCGAGCTGCACCTTTCTATTTACCCAAAAACAAGACCCAAAAACGAACTGCAAATGTGACAGAATCTTAGGGAAAGACAAGTGCTCGCGGGGTGGTCAGCGTGGGATAGGTAGCATCTATGCGACAGGTAGGATTTATGTACCATCAAGTGTCGCAAATTGAATTGTTAGAGGCTTGACTGTTGCCAAATTGTCGGCTAAACGAAAGTAAACTCTAATTTCTTTCAGTTTTCTGTGTTCAGTGAGTTTGTGTCCTAAGTCTTTTGTTATGATGGGCGTAACTTCGGTGTATACAAACTGTGGTTGCGTTTTAAGCTGTTTGTTTTAATAGGTAAAAGTGAAACAAATTGCTAAGTTTTTCAGTTTCGATATGTATGTTGTGATTCAAAGTTTGTGTCCTAAGTCTTTTGTTCTGGTAGGCCTAACTGCCATGACTTTATAGTTAGGTTGCCCTCTCAGTCTTATGTTTCCTTAGGCATCAGGAAAACGCATTTCTTTTCAGTTTTAGACATCAAGTATTCTTCTCTTATAAAGTTTGTGTCTTAAGTCTTTCGTTTTCTTATAATTAAAAACCATTCAAAATTAATTTTTTAACTCTAAAGTCTTGAATATATTTCTCAGCCATCTACCACTTTCATATCTCAAATCAAGAATGCTTTTTGTATAAATTTACATACCCATTACCTTGGCCAGCCATGATCTAGCTTCGATGTTATCCCATCCATTGCCATTTTAAGATCTTTCACATCCTTCTACCGCCATAACCATTCCCCAATCTCGTCTATCTATTTTGCCTAACCAAAACTTTGAATTGATGTCAAACGTTGCATAAATTTGGCATCATATCTAACAGCTACAACAGCAACAAACACAACAACAAACATAACAACAAACATCAATAATAATAATGCAAATTTGGCATGCATAATTTTGTACTTCATCTGCCACTTTTTGTTGTTGTTGCTGTTTTTGTATTGTTTTTAAGCCAAGGTGCGGGCGTCAGTTAGCCCAGAAAGAGAGAGACCAAAAGACATGGAGATAGAACACCTCTTGAGCCGCGATCTGCGATGGAGCCGCTGTCGATCTGAAGGCTTATCAACGTTAATAACACGCCAAAGACAACCAAAAAGAAAACAAAACCAAACGACAAAAGAAAAAGGAGACCAAGAACGAGAACAACAAAACGAGGCGGCAATAAAAATGCTAAATAAATGGCCACATGTGTGTGTGTGTGTGTGTGTGTGAGTGCCATAGAGGAAGCAGAGAAATGGATCTACGAGAAATATGAATGTAGTGCAAAGTGTGGGAGGCCATTCGGGTGGGTGACTACATGCACTGAGAAAAGCAAAAAGAGATCTTTAAGATTATTTCAACTTTTTTTCATTAGCCAAATCATGACCACATGATAAAAACTTTAAAGTTTAAAGTTTAATAAAGAAAAATCTTATTTTTCCTTTAGAGTCTTAAAAAGTCTTAAAACTTTCTTCCTGTGCTAACTTTTTGGGTGTGTGTGGGTTGTGTGGGTGGCTTTCCAGCTAGGCAAAGGTCAAGACGAAACGCAATTGACAGCGCGGCAGCCACGTTCACAGCCGCTGGCAAACTGCAACTGGCGGCACACCGGAAGTGGGTCAACGAAAACCGGATCCGCATCAAACGCAGCTGTGTGTGGAAAGAAATAAACAACAAATGGCAACAACAAATAGCAACAACAACAACAACAACAACCACAACCAAACAAACAACACAAAAACAAACATCAGACAATGCAAAATGCAATTGAGATGCAAATGCAAATTCCATTTGCCACATGTTGCAGATGCCGTGTGCTGTTGTGTGTGCCAGCAACATAAATAAACATGAAAATAATGCACACCATTAACATTGCCAATGGCCCCCAAAAAGCAAAGGGGGAGAGGAGGGAAGAGATCGGGGAGCCATGTTGGCCAGATAGACGGGCGGCCAAAAGGCCATGTGATGTGTCTGCGTGCAGCTTGGAGTGTCATGGGCATGGCTTTGGCTGACTCCGCTCTTGACAAACTCTCTGTGCTGCATCTAATGAAGTTCCATTCGAATGGGAGATGAGGATGTGGCAAAGGGGCAGAGTAAATTGCTAGAAAG